TATTGGAAAAAGTGAAAACATATCCAGCAAGATAATGCTAACAACAAAAGGCTGAAAAGCATAACAAACAAATGAAAAAAAAATCTCCAGTATAACAAAGTACGCAACTACAACTAAAACCCTCTTGCAAGATAAAAAAAAAAAATGAAGACGGGCTACATGTCATCTTGTCCCTATCTTTTCCACGACTTTTTTCACCTCCTTCTCCACTACCTTCACCTTAACTAAGCCTTCTTTCATTTTTTTTTTGCACGGACAACTGTTTATTTTGGAGCCATCAGACCAATAACTGAACATGCGAGCCTTCCGCCTGCATTACCGGTTTTTAAACTTTCCTCTTTTTTGTCCCCAACTCCTCGACCAAGATCATCTTCATTCTCATGAACGACGACGGATCGACCAACAACGGAAGTCACGCCACTCAGCTTCAAAATAAAAAAAAAAACGAATCAGCGATTGTCCACAAACAGAAAACTCAAAATCACATCTTACCTTCTCAAACAAAATCAACTTCTGAAAAACATTTCCCGTGAAAACAAACGAAAACTGACGTGAAAATGAAAAACCTATTTCGTAATCCTCTGTAACTCTGAATTAAATTACCTGGATCAGGTCACTAGACATTTTGAATTTTGCCACACCATCAGCGTTTGCTTCTACATTACCAAGATCACCCACGTGGCGAGTTGCATCCTAAATTATTTCATTTTCATTAAAAAAAAATGCATGCGAATTCCCATTAGACTTAACTTTATACCTAAAGTTACAGGACGAATGACCCCTAAAGGAGAAAAAAGTAGGGATACAAGTTCTCTAACAACCTCAGGGCCCCCATGTGTTTTATTGAATGGGTTGAAATGAGGTCCTGCAGAAACACATCCCTGCGTAAGATCACCATACTGATGGATGTGAAAACCATGCTTTCCAGGTTTCAAACCCTCTATTTGACCTTCAACTTCGGTCACTCCTCCTTCTTTTTCCTAAAATTTAAACTGTTACATGAACTTATCAACATTTTCATAAATGTTCTGAAATGAACAAAATGGCAAGCGTTGAAGACTGAATTGGAAGATACAACAATCGTACGAAATGGTGCTGCTAATGAGCTCTTAATCGACATATAAATGACACTTCCCGTTAACTGAAGTCATATAGGTAAAACTTGACAAAAAGCCATATAAGGAACAAGAGTACCCTGCTTAACAACAAAGTGAACAAAAGTCTTAAGTAGCCTAAAGCGTGATTTGTCACACAGCTACAATTTCAAAACCACACTAGTGCACAGCAACTCGAAAAGGGAAAATGGCACCGAGACTTACCTGAGTGAAAAAGACGTCGCCCTTGATGTTCTGGTTACGTAAAATAGCGACTGCGCGAATCATTGTTTACCAAAAAACCGCTTTGTCCTGCAGTACCATTCAGAAGAGTTACAGTCCGAATTAATAATTTCTCGAAGCCGTGTTACGGTAAATACAAACGAGTATCAGAAACATAAGTGAAATGAATCCGAAAGATTCAAGTATGCTGAATTACGCATACAAATAATGCTGCATATGCCGTTCCTAACCATCTCCATTCAAGTAAAAGTATTTGAAATATAGAAGAAATTTTCTGCGTGAACTACAGAGGGCTTAGCACCTTGCAACAACAACAACAACAACAAAGTGTATCAAAACACCATCGCAATATCAGTTTATTTCTAAAAAGTCACGAAGAACAGTAGCAGTCGCAGTCCCAACGCGGATGCTACAGCTAAATTGACAGACACTTATTTTCATCAGATATGGTAACTGAATAAAAATATTAAACAAATGATATGTAATGTCAACAAACTTAAAAACAAGCAAAATCAAA